AAAGTGTCTTTATAAGCTTTTGCCATTAACGGAAAGCACCTTATTCGACTTGACTCGAGTTCAACGACGAGCATCCTTGTTAACTTTGCATTAACTTGTTTGCATAAGCTGCTGTACGATTTTACTGAAAAACGTATGGACTACCGCTTGACGTTTATGGTTTAATCATGACCTTGAGAATATTGAAACTTACCTGTCTGCGAATACATCCATATAAAAAAAACATGGCGGCGTGTTATCGTTTGCACCGCACACGGTACCCAGATAATGGAAATTTGGTCCTAATTTTAATAAAGATGGATAAATAAAACTTTTGCACTCGCGGTGAATATATTTTCGTTGCTGAAGAATCAAAAGCGGCTTGTTATTGTATGCTTGCTAAGACTTACAGGCTAATGCCCCTTGGTTGAAGCCTCTTGGTTCTTACACCTGCAGTAGGTTTCTGCCTGGCTTCGACCGTAGAAGACCTGTACTTATGGCGTTCGTGAACAACTCGAGCGATGGCGGGCCCAAAACCTAAATTTAGCCAGACTAGTCGAAAATTTTTGTTACCATTTTATTTACCAGTTGTACCATTTTATTAAATTGTCGCGTCCTTCCATATTTATCTGTCATGTTTTTCTCGCACCGATCCATAAGGGGTTGTTTCTCCTTTTATCTGCAGTAGCAATTGGGCGAGCGGAAAAATATCTAACCTCGATGAAAGTAGGTCTAGCATTGGACGATCTTTCATATTCTGAGGCAGAATGTCCTGCCGCCGTCATAATACGTCTCTGGTTGTTTTTCTAAAAAAAAAATGTAGGCTTTGATCTAGTATCTAATATAGCGGATGAACGGATGTTTGCTTCGACAAACAGCTGCCGTGGATATAGTTACACCGATCAATTACAGATGCGAAATTATCACGAGCATGGAACCAATATTGGAACTTGTAATGAGTTTTGCGGTAATAATCATCCTGCTTCATACTGGTAAACAAACTCTTAATTTATCAATATTGGACGCGGTTGCCGATCTGTAGCTCAATGTCGGTGTTGGCATCCCTTGGAAACAACACTTCTCAGAAAATACAATTTTCGATTTTCTTTAACACTACGAAACAACGAAGAGAACGTGTACATGTTATATGTTTCAGGACGATGGAGCTCGCCGACCCTCCAATTACACTTCGAGACCCTTTCCCGGTTAACAGTAGGGCAACTGCTTGAAGACGGGCGAAAAAGTGAGTCCTCTATTATAAACATAATGTAGTGTTTGTAGTAGTTAAATTAAATGACTCAGCTGCTATCGGTAAAATGTATTTTTTGCTCTTTGTTTAATAGCATAAGCGCCGCTGTCGCATCGCCACCACTGAGATAAACCTGAAAAACCATATGGTAGAGATAAGGGCAAACTGGTGTGCTTTGGTTAGGTCCCTAGGTTACCAAGGGACTATTGTAGCAGTATCACAAGGAGCTTCGAGCCGCTATAGGACAAATCAACAAACGTAAGCACGGCAGGTTTGATATAGATCGTCAAATACGCTCTCTTTGTGTGACCCGCATGATCGCCGTCAATTGATCGCTTTTTCTTTAAAAAGTATAGACGCAACGGTCGGCTTCAGCAAAGATGCGACAATTCCTTTGTGTACTTTTTTCTAACGAAAAACTAAACGCAGTGAAAGGGTTTTTAGATCATGTTTATGAATCTGTGACAGTAGATCCGATATATGAAAAATGGGTCGCTCTTGTATCCTTTATTTCATCATTCTATTTACCTTTTTTCAATAATAATATTCAATTTAAATATAATTTTCAATGCAATATATATTTACAATATATAATTTTCAATTTTGGTCCAGTCGTTAACTGTTTTCAAAATATTCCATTTCTAAAAAATGGTGCCATGAAAATGTACGATGTATAGAAAAATCGATTCTTACTATTCTATTAATATTAGTGCAGCTCGAGATTTCAACGAACGCTCGACATGTGGAACCTTTCACCTGAGCATAATTAGCCCATAGAAATAGATGA